TCCAGTAAGCATCTGGGGGGTTCTGGTAATTAAGATCCAGCTAGGGGACCATCCAGTAAGCATCAGGGGGGGGGGTTGTGTGATTAGGATCCAGCCAGGGACCATCCACTAAGGTTCTGGGGGGTTGTGTGATTATGATCCAGCAAGGGATCATCCGCTAAGCTTCTGGGTGGCGTGTAATTAAAATCCATTCACTAGCGTTTGGGGAGTTGTTAGATATGGGTCCAGCAAGGGATCATCCAGTTAACATCTGGGGGGTTGTGTGATTAGGATCCAGCAAGGGACCATCCATTAAGCTTTTATGGTGGTTTTGTGGCATACATGTACAATGTATTGTTGGTATATCATGTCTGAATTGTCTGAAAATTCTGACACTACATTTCTGAAAACACTACAGTACACAAAAACACACGAACATCTGTTGTAGCTTAGATGTGCTCCCAGCAACATCTATCTACTGTGTCACACCTTAGTTTAGCATTCTTACAGTCATCTACTGTATAACGTGTTAGTATAGTGTTCTATGACTGTATACTGTAGTATGATATCTACACAACACATACTGAGTACTGTAGACTAGTTATGTGTATCCTTACACTTCATAGTGTACTGTAAGACTATAATTTAGATATCATATAAGTGTTTTATAGTGTAATTATGTTAGACTGATGTTCGGTAGTGTTTTAAGCATGTTACTAACTCTAGTTCCTCCTAGTCCTGAGCTAAACTTCGTTAGCTCCTAGCTCGTTAAAGAGTTTTGATTGCATGTTAATGAGCCCTGATGATGATGTACAGCCCTACCCAGGGAGTGACTAACACTTGCCAATCATGTATATTGCCCTGCTATTTTTACTAATTAACCCTCTCGTTACCGACTGACGAATGTCCTGACTCTTGTTGCCCCCTGCCTCCAGGTTTCCTATATCTCCTGCACCCAGAAATTGTTAGGGAAGACGGAATCCAAGGTACGTCAATCTTAACGCCCAGCTAAACATCCCAACGTAGTCCCGAAAAAACTGCAACTTAGTGCTGTGTACCTACATGTAAACCCACGTTTAGGTTCAGGTCCGGATTTCCCACATTTAGGTTCAAGTCCAGAGGTTTAGGTTCGGTTCCGGACCCGTAAGTCTGGACCTAAACCCCTGGCATATACAAAATTGTGCTGTGTACCTAAACCCATGTTTAGGTTCAGATCCGGATTCAAGCCCAGAGGTTTAGATTCAGTCCCGGACTCGTAAGTCCGGACCTGAACCCATGGCATATACAAAACTGCATGTTGGCAACCTTGTAATGTTGTCTGGGTGAAACTGTGGCAACATAACAAGGAGGCCGACCATTGACGATGCCCAATGGCAATGTTTTCTTCATTTTGCAGCACAGATTTTGCAACCTATGGAAGGTTTTAGGTGGCTTGGCAAGAAAAGGGGCATGTGATATGCTTTTTTTTTATAAGTCTGGAATCAGTTCTTGACTATTACTTTTTTTTTTGGACTTGAACCTAAACATTTTTACAAGTCCGGAACCGGTCCAGCAAACTGGTACACAGCACTACGGATTCCCAACGTAGTCCAAAAAAATGTAGCGCAAACTTCCTCCCTAGTCTGTTTCCTAGCCATGTTCCGCCGTTACCGCGGCAACTAGAGTGTCATGTTACATGATTGGCAGGTGTGAGTCTGCGGCGGAACCCTGCTTGCCTGCGATAACCTTTTCTCTTGCAGTGCTGCAGTAGGAGGGAGCTTGTAGTGAGATAGTTCTGAATATTCCAAAAACAGTTCCTCGAGCAACTGGATATTATGTTGGAATGAGTAACATCTGTGTCCATAATATCACCAGGGTCCATAATATCGCTACCTTGAGAAATATTTTTACTGCAACATACCCTAGGTATGTACATTTGAGGTGTGCAAGAGTGCATACCAAAGTATTTTGCAGTAAAAATATCTTTAAAAGCACACTGTTTCTCAAGGTGGCGATATTATGGACCCTGGTGATATTATGGACCCTGGTGATATTATGGACCCTGGTGATATTATGGACACAGATGTTACTCGAGCAACTGGATATGATGTTGGAATGAGTAACAGTTGCTTGGATAACTGTTTTTTTGCAAATCTTATTACCTGGATGTCTAACATTGACCGATGTCGTTCTGAATATTAATTCAAGTTTAAAACTTTGATTCAGCTTCGAAAGCAAAACATCGTTATGTCAGTTTTCAAAAATTTGGGTCAAAGGTTTTAAACTTGAATGTTGCTTCTGACTGTTATTTTCATGCTGATGATTTTTTCACACATGGAAATGTTGTACAGAAAAAAAAGTGTAGAAAATAGTCTTTCTCTGCTGTCACTAGCTCTTAGGTAGAAAGTTTTATGTTCTTGTTGGCAACATTTAAACGAGAAATCCTGGTAATTTGGAAGCCCAGAATGTTTCATGTCCTTCCAAGGTCATGTCAAATGTCACAGCTGAAGAGTGACTGAGTTAACAGTGATGGCAATGTTACTTTGGGGGGGGTGACATAAGCATCACTGGTAAACTGTTGGGTTTCACTGAGTTTACACTGAAAATTGAGGGCCATAACCACCTTCCTAACTAGGCTTTCTTCACAGCCCCCACAGAAAGCAGTTTTGGCAAAGGCTTCCACCCAATTTGCCGCAGAAATGGGCATTAATTATCCCAAATTACCAAACAAGAGGCCTCTATTTGCAGGCCGTGATTACGTAAAACTGCTGCACTAATCATGGCCCATTTCTGGGTCACTGGAGGTGGGAGGGGGGCAGTGCCCTTGAGATTAGGTCATCTGTGAGGATGGGGGAGGGGGGCAGTGCCCTTGAGTTTGGGTCATCTGTGAGGAGGGGGGAGGGTGGCGCCCTTGAGATTAGGTCATCTGTAAGAATGGGGGAGGGGGGTGCCCTTGAGTTTGGGTCATCTGTGAGGATGGGGGAGGGGGGTGCCCTTGAGTTTGGGTCATCAGTGAGAATTGGGAGGGGGGCAGTGCCCAACAGTTGCAGGGCACAGCACAGTAATAGGGCTTTCCTATGTTAATATATGGGAATTATGTCAAAACAACGTGGTCAACATTCATATACCTGAGTTTTAGACCTTGAAGAACATACATTGGCAGGGTAGGCCAACCTCTCAAGTCTCCATTCCCAAAAAATGACAAAATCCTACGCACCTAAACCATGCGAGAATTCTACCCAAACATTGAGAAGTGACCCCTGACCTCTCTGGACAGCTGATGACCGCATGTAAACCTATATCTTCTTCAGCCAGCCAGACAACACAAACATGGCTGCAAGTCTGTGTTTTCACCAAAATTAAAATACTACAACCCTTACCTATAACATCCAAGTCCAAAACAACAACATTTCCCTAGAAAAAGACTTCTTTACACTCTACATTACATTGCCATCTCTATATACTAAAACTGGGCCCTCTGCGCCTGCGCTATTACTAACCTTTGCCCTGTCAGGGCGGCCAAGTTCAAGGTTGACACGTTTCAATCATTTCACATAAACCGGGGAGGGGTTGTTAACAACCATCCCAAGTGTCGAAGATGTCAGACCAGGAATGGTCCCCTGGGAATAAAATCTAGAAACAGGTGTCTGGGGCCCTTTTCCAGGTCTAGGGCACTAGTCTAAGGCAATTGGCGAGGCCCATAATAATGAGCAAAAAGTAATAAAAACAGAAGGAAAAGTCAAAAGCTGCTCACCCTGGCATAAGGAAGCTATCTTTCCTCATGCCAGGCCCCTAAAGTTGCATTCAAGTTAGCCTTTTAGCATTTTAGGGACAGTATATTGCATTGTCAATAAAGAATACAGAAAACTATTAAAAATGGCTAAAACACTAAAAATCTAAAAATTTCATGGGAAATCTGGGTCCAGTGAGTCAGCTGATGCCTGCTCCTTGCCCAAATAACTGATTTCAGGGAAATATAAGCCCTTACAGCCTATCTGGACCCCCTCCTCAAATGGGTGCAGGGCACAGCACAGTAATAGGGCTTTCCTATGTTAATATATGGGAATTATGTCAAAACAACGTGGTCAACATTCATATACCTGAGTTTTAGACCTTGAAGAACATACATTGGCAGGGTAGGCCAACCTCTCAAGTCTCCATTCCCAAAAAATGACAAAATCCTACGCACCTAAACCATGCGAGAATTCTACCCAAACATTGAGAAGTGACCCCTGACCTCTCTGGACAGCTGATGACCGCATGTAAACCTATATCTTCTTCAGCCAGCCAAACAACACAAACGTGGCTGCAAGTCTGTTTTTTCACCAAAATTAAAATACTACAACCCTTACCTATAACATCCAAGTCCAAAACAACAACATTTCCCTAGAAAAAGACTTCTTTACACTCTACATTACATTGCCATCTCTATATACTAAAACTGGGCCCTCTGCGCCTGCGCTATTACTAACCTTTGCCCTGTCAGGGCGGCCAAGTTCAAGGTTGACACGTTTCAATCATTTCACATAAACCGGGGAGGGGTTGTTAACAACCATCCCAAGTGTCGAAGATGTCAGACCAGGAATGGTCCCCTGGGAATAAAATCTAGAAACAGGTGTCTGGGGCCCTTTTCCAGGTCTAGGGCACTAGTCTAAGGCAATTGGCGAGGCCCATAATAATGAGCAAAAAGTAATAAAAACAGAAGGAAAAGTCAAAAGCTGCTCACCCTGGCATAAGGAAGCTATCTTTCCTCATGCCAGGCCCCTAAAGTTGCATTCAAGTTAGCCTTTTAGCATTTTAGGGACAGTATATTGCATTGTCAATAAAGAATACAGAAAACTATTAAAAATGGCTAAAACACTAAAAATCTAAAAATTTCATGGGAAATCTGGGTCCAGTGAGTCAGCTGATGCCTGCTCCTTGCCCAAATAACTGATTTCAGGGAAATATAAGCCCTTACAGCCTATCTGGACCCCCTCCTCAAATGGGTGCAGGGCACAGCACAGTAATAGGGCTTTCCTATGTTAATATATGGGAATTATGTCAAAACAACGTGGTCAACATTCATATACCTGAGTTTTAGACCTTGAAGAACATACATTGGCAGGGTAGGCCAACCTCTCAAGTCTCCATTCCCAAAAAATGACAAAATCCTACGCACCTAAACCATGCGAGAATTCTACCCAAACATTGAGAAGTGACCCCTGACCTCTCTGGACAGCTGATGACCGCATGTAAACCTATATCTTCTTCAGCCAGCCAGACAACACAAACATGGCTGCAAGTCTGTGTTTTCACCAAAATTAAAATACTACAACCCTTACCTATAACATCCAAGTCCAAAACAACAACATTTCCCTAGAAAAAGACTTCTTTACACTCTACATTACATTGCCATCTCTATATACTAAAACTGGGCCCTCTGCGCCTGCGCTATTACTAACCTTTGCCCTGCCTACCTATGGAGGTATTAATGGATCCTCCCCAGGGGGTATTTATTAATGTCCCCTCCTGAGGGGGTTTTGACTCAAAGGTCTGCCCAGAACAATGGAAACAATCATTGGTCGTTAAACTGTTGTGCCCTTTTATTCTCCCAGCAATCAAGTCGCCTAATTAAGTCTTCCGGCAGAATTGTCTCAGAGACATGGCTGCTAAAGACTCAGCCGGCATTAAACACTGTTAAACCTGAGAGGAGGCAAAAGATTTGTTGGCTGAAAATAAAACTGCAAGGTCTTCCTAGAAAGGGGTGTGTGTGGAGGGGAAGCTGATCCTTGTAGGAGGGCCTGCATGGGGGGGGAGTGATTACGAATTACAGAAAATTTTTGCCGCCAATTACGAATTACGTTAATGTCTCAGAGCTGATTACGACTTAACGTTTTGCGGCTTATGTACTATTACGAATTGCATTGATTTTTTTGGAAGGCTGCCTACGGATTACGAAGACTAAAAAGGCCTGATTATGCCTTACAAAAAAGGGCATGCAGACCTTCTTGTAGTGGCAAGTTTGTGTGCAGGTAACTGCCCCACAGTTCACTGAACCTGCAAAGGTGAGAGATTTTTCTGTCTGCTGCCAGATGCCTAAATCCGCATTCCGTCTGCCCAATTGGGCAGGGAAGACCCACGCCCCACATCCGGGTCACTAAACCCCTTCCTGGGTGCAGCTTGACCTCCAGTGACCCATAACAACACAGTAAACTACACCTTAAGGTAGCACATTGCCTCCGCAAACCCCTGATTTTTCGCAGTTTTCGTTGAATGTTTTTTTGGTCACTGTTGCATCAGAATTTTGCCTGTTGCAGAGGATAACTTTTCCGACATAACATTTGGAAACTACAGCAGGATAATAACTTTATTTACGGGAACTTACGTGAAACGATTTGACAAATACATTACGGATTTTGCACAGGTGCATTTTGCCTCCTTTTTGCCAACATGCTCACCTAAATAAGTGTAACAACAGTCAGGGGTGTAACCACAACCAGGTGTTAGAACTTGGTACAGGTATCAGCACAAAGGCAGGTGGAAGTACAGAACTATCGGCAGGACCCAGGCATTGTCCTGTGTGAGAAATATCGACACTTGAGCACACGGAATGGCAGCCTGACATTTGCAGACGGCCGCCTGAATGATACAGCCTTGTTCCCGAAGCTAGAGCGTTAATAATTTATCGGACCGGCTGTTTGTGTGTGTGTAAGGATTAATGCCACAAATGCAGTTATAATGGGGTTGTGATTTGAGGCTGATGGGGTAACACTGGGCACATGTCTTACTTATAGGGGCATAGAGTAAGGCCTTTCCCCATTCATTCTGCACTGTTACGGGGGGGGGGTGTATGAAGCAGCCGTCCTGTTTGTAGCCTTGTAACAACAGTGCTGTCATAGGGAGTGGGTACTGCACTGTTAAGGGGGGTGGTACTGCACTGTTACAGGGGGGTACTGCAATATTTTGGGGGGTACTGCCCTGCCTTGTCATAGGAAGGGGGTACTGTACCTGTATAGTACATTGTTATGGGGGGTCTACCTGTAATGAAATAAAGCAGGAGTGGTAAAGGTTTTTCAGTTCTACTTGACAGGTTTTTCTTGTTCCTTGCTGGAAGAATGTGACATTCTGGGCCCGGTGAGCCTGTGTTTCTCTTTCATGTGTCTACGGAATACCATTGAACAGTGGAGACTCATTCAGACATATGCCAGTCTACATTTTGTATTATAGGCCAATGACTAGTTGATGGCTGGTCAGTGACTGGTTAATGACTGGTTAATGACTGGTCAATGCCTCAGGTTAATGGCTGGTCAGAGCCTGGTTAGTAACTGGTCAGTGATTGGTTAATGACTGATTGTAAACCGGTTAATGACTACATGCTACTCATTTTTTTCTGTGTATAAACCATTGACTTACCAACCTTCCTGTCTCTCTTGGTCTGTATCTGATGGTTTAATGTTGAACAAACCGACAGACAGACAGTATAACTAAAGGTGTGTTTCTCTCTCTGTGTTTTCTACAGCCGGCGTCTATCCGAACTTTGCCTACGGTCGCGGCTACCCGTTTGCACCAGGATACGGATATGGCTTCCCTGGTAAGTCCCGATGCTCACTCACGCTACTCTTAGTGTTGTAGGCCCACAGCTAGTCCTTACACACCATGGCCACATGTGCCCACAGCTAGGACATACCCACCACAGCTTCACAGGCCCACAGATGCCCCAAATACTACAGGAACTATACACAGAAACTACGTACAACACATTTGAAGATAACTTCTCACAATAGCTGTACTGGAAGGCATACCTTTGGAAAGGAATTTTGATGATTCTTAACCTCAACTATCTCTTATGACAGAATGAAAATACACCATACACACCCTTGTACACAGTCACCCATAGATACCCCAACTACCTCAGAACAATTGGCGCTTAATATTTCAAAATACAGTAAATACTGAACTTCAAAATATCCCCTCGAAGAAGCATGTATAGTGTATAAATAGACACAAGGAGAATTCTGAAGATTTGTAAACTCAACTATCTCTAATTATTATAGGATAAAAACATACCACAATGTGCAGTGAAGCATATTTTTTAAGGATCTCTTTGAGTACATTTAGACATGAACCATGAACCTTTGGGTTTGTCCTACCATGCTTGAAAACTGGTGTCAAATCAGCTGCTAACTTCTGTCCCAAACAAGACTAATTCCGAGAACCGATGGTCACCACTCAACTCAGTACTACAATCCTCAACTCAAATAAACAACTCAGTAACTTGGTAGTTAACAAATCATAGAGGGATGTTACTGTGGTGATGACCTCTGACCTGGTAGGTTTAACCCCTAGGGACGTTACCGTGGTGATGACCTCTGACCTGTGTGCTATGGTGATGACCTCTGACACGACCTAACCCATCACAGTGTGGTGTTTTTTGACGTGTGTGTGATGTGATAATTTTTGCCTGCATGATTTTTGCATGATGAGTTTTTTGCACCTTGCTGCTGGTTTGGCCTCACATTCTAACTCTGCTCTCACCCCCCTCTCCCCACCCCACCCCCTCTCCCCTCCCCCCCCCTGTGTCACTTACAGAAAGTGGCCATTTCGTGTTCCCCACAGGGTTCCCGGCCGCGGCTTACGGACCCCCCGGCAGGGCCAGCCCTCGCGGCGCCCGCGGACGCGCAGGCATCATGGGATACCCCGGAACAGCAGGTGAGCTCGCTCGCTTTACCGCCGTCTGTGTGTCGCTAGGCAACCGTTACTAGGCAACCGTAACCATGGTAACCTCGGCATCACTCCAGCCACTAGAAAATCCATTTCTAACTTCATCCTAAACCATCAGTTTGTTTGGCAGTCGCCATAGTTCTGTGTTCTATTATAACAAAAACTGACATGGCAAGGTCAGGATGACCTTGCTTCAGAGCTGCGGTAAAACTGCTGATAGTTGCCATGGTAACATAGACGATGCATGTTTTTGGTTCTACTTTAACTCGTAGTTGTGATCTAAACCTTACTTACTGTGGCGCTTGTTGACACTTCACACATCCATCCCCCCCGTGCCTGGCTGCACATGGATCGGCCCAACAATAGACTACAAATCAGTCCCTTTAGAAGCTTTTCTTCTGAAATCTATGAAATTTCCCATGATTTTTGGCAGCATGTATCAAAATCCGTCCCACTTGAAACTGACTTTTTTTTCGTGCAGATTTGGTGCAACACAAAATGCACACACCTACTGCAGTGTGACAAACTAAAATTATTGGTCACAAACAAACAAACCAGCAAGAGTTGTCCTAAAAATAGGACTAAAAAAAAAATCAGCAACATCCTGCTTCAGTGTTTTGACACAACTGAAGCAGTTTTGTCACCAGTAAAGAGAAAAGATCCTGTATTTCCCGGGCATGTTATCCTGCAGTGGCCATGCATGGGGGGGTCCCACACCCTCCCCACACTAGCCTAGCCGTTAGACAGCTAACCCTAGAACCAGGCTGGGGTGTTTAGTTGTACCGTAGACTTGGGTGCTGGTCTGTAGCCTTCAGCTGACTAACTCTCCACTCCAAAGCTGTGTGTTTTAGCTCTAATGTCGTGTTGTGCCGCTGTGTGTGTGCTGTAGTCGGTAGAGTAGGTAACATGGCTGTTTTGTAGTGTGTAGGTGATATTTCTGTGGTGTAGACTAGGTATAGGTAACATAGCCTGTAGTGGAGGTAAGTTTGTGGTATAGGTTTAGGTAACATAGTGGTGGAGGTAAGTTTATGTATGGTTAACAGTCTTTAGTGTAGACCAGGTGTAGTGTAGGTGTAGAATAGGCTCTAGCATGGGCTAGGCTACAGTGTAGTAAGTTGTAGTTGTAGGTTAGGCTGTAGTAAAGCCAACCCAAGACTGCAGAAGTTACGGTAAGTGTCAGAGTACTGCCCAGCACAGAATACTTCCACCCTCCTACTTATACTGCCGTTCACTGTAAATAACTGGAGTCGCAGACAAGAACAAAAAACTGCCACATTTTTGAGGGCCAAGAAGATTAAATTTTTCCCAGTCTTGGCTGGTAGAAGCTGGATTTTGGCCATGCTTGCCAACTCTGCATGTAAAGTCATGCTGGGTACAAGCATGGACTCTTCATCCTTATGCCCTTCCAAACAGCTTTCAAATTTTCAAAGCTTCTCCAGATTACAGGGAAGGCAGGAACAGGGAGTGGCGTGAAGTATCGAGTGCTCGGCACAAAGTTTGGGGTAACTTTTAGGAAAATTAAAATCAGGGAAGTCCGGAAACAGTTAGGGACGGATTCCGAAAGCGTCAGCACCCAGAGTATAAAGCAAGGTCAGGGTTGTTTGTTCCCCCCAAGGGCGCCCCCCTCCCCCCCTGGAAAATGCACACCACAGACAAAATGAACACACACAACATGACTGTGTACGGGATGAGCGGTGCAGGCTCGTGCTAGCTTTGGTCACCATGGCATTGCTATGGCATTGCTATGGCGATGGGCATTAGAGATAGACGCTCGGTAAAAACTTGGAATAGATTTTTTAATCAGAAAAGGGGTTTTTAGAATCAGCCATGTAGACCTCGGTCAGGACTGTAATCCGACCTGGGTAAGGTTTGAAACCAGAGCTTGGTTAGGATTGTAATCTGACCTGGGTCAATTTTGTAACCCGAGCTGGGTGAGGTTTGAAACCCGAGCTTGCTTAGGATTGTAACCCGAGCTTGATTGGGTTTGTAATCCGAGCTGGGTCAATTTTGTAACCCAGCAGGGTGAGGTTAGCACGAGCCTGTCCGGGAGTCCGTACGTTCGTCCGTTTGTCCGTTGCCTGCGCTGACGTCGCCTGTCCCCCACCCCCAGGCTTCCCTGATTACCAGTATATGGGCCCGGGGGACCAGCGCGCCTATTTTGCGGATTACGGTAGCGTTGGTCCGGCGCTGAGGCCCGCCGTGGCCCAGACTGAGCCGGCCCGTGTGACTAGCTCGCCCATGCACCAGGAGTACAAGCGTGAGTCTAATTCCTTCTTCTGACCCCCCTCCCACAAAAAAACACACCAATCACTGTTCTCCTTTTTTTTGGCAATGGTAAATAATTTTCTCATGGATGCATTGAATCTGCAGTTTTTTTTAATCACGGCAAATTGTCTCTCTTGTTTTCCTGGCATTATGATTTCTCCCTCCCCTGAAAAAACACACTGATCACTGTTTTCCTTTTTTTGGCAATGGTAAATAATTTTCTCACTGGATGCATCAATTCGGAAGTTTTTTTGAATCACGGCAAAGTTGGGCTTTCTTCTATAATTGTTTTTTTTGGAGAGACAATGATTTCTTGCTGGATACATCAATATCGTTCTGCAACACTTTTTCACTTCTCCAAACTTGTATTAAATTTTCAACACCTAGAGGGCTTTTTTGTTCAATTTGTGCCAATTCCCCCCCCCAAGCATCTGCAATGATAGCAATGATTTGGCTCCTTGCTTTTGGGAAATGGATGTACATCGTGCAGGGCTTTTTTTATCATTAATTTTGATATCCTATGAACATAGAAATTGTAATGTACAATTATAGAAGGGATGAAAGGTAGATAGCAAACCACTGCCATTGCTGATGAGCATTTAGTGAATATAAATAAATTTTCAAAATGTTATGCACAAGTTTACAAGAGATAAAACGTAGGTGGCAGAAAACTAATTAAAACCACCAAAACCAGGACAGAACAGTTTTGTTTATCCATTTTCACTGCCGAGTTTTTGAGCAGCCAGAAATGATTGACAGTTGTGCAGGCGGATGTTTTGTAGCGGCTGCCCCCGCCGCCCCCCCGCCAGCCTTCCCCGCCAGACTCACCTAATGATGTCTCCCGTCCCTGATCCAAAAAACCTCCAACTATTGAAGTATTAATTGCTTCCGAGTTTTAAATGCAGCCCATCCCGGATGAGCTTTGCCGATCCCGTTCCCGTGGGAACGCCAGGGAGCTGATTAATCGCCGTTTTCCCTCCTCGATCTGCCGGCCCACGTACACATGTACAAGCAGAGCGGGGGTGACCTATTTTATTTTTACTGAGCGCTTTTATTCATTACTGTAACTCTCAAGTCTGAAGCTACCTGCTAAGTATCACATCCACCTTGTCCTAAAACTAAAATAATTGAGAAAAGGGCCTACAAAATTGAAAACATAACAGCTACATATCTCTGAAGGAAATGGGCAAAGACAACAGCAATCATTTAGAAACAACTCTTTGCCACACCAACCCTGCTCACTTTGCCACACCAACCCTGCTCACTTTGCCACACCAATCCTGCTCACTTTGCCACACCAACCCTGCTCACTTTGCCACACCAACCCTGCTCACTTTGCCACACCAACCCTGCCCACTTTGCCACACCAACCCTGCTCATTTTGCCACACCAATCCTGCTCACTTTGCCACACCAACCCTGCTCACTTTGCCACACCAACCCTGCTCACTTTGCCACACCAGTCCTGCTCACTTTGCCACACCAATCCTGCTCACTTTGCCACACTAACCCTGCTCACTTTGCCACACCAACCCTGCTCACTTTGCCACACCAGTCCTGCTCACTTTGCCACACCAGTCCTGCTCACTTTGCCACACCAATCCAGCCTCTTACTTACCCATGTTCTAATCAGACATATTCCAACCCAAAGCTACATTTTTCTATTTGTTACTTGCCCAACTGCCTTCCATTTTGGGAAGAAAATTGTATTTTTAATGAAGCCGGGGGGTCAACTGTCTGCTGAATTAGTGAGAACCCAGTTCTGCAAGCGGCTTGATTATTCCTGCTGTGTCGGGATGTAGTTTTGCTGCCTGCCCAGAGGCTGACCCCACGTTTGTATCTGTCCCTCGGTAACTTTTACAGACCTGTTTAATGTGGGGATATTATTACCACTCCCTATAGTACAGTAACTGATGAGTGTAGATATGTAAGAATGACAGTTCTGTCTATTCTCGCCCCCACATCCCACAGTGTTGAACAGCTATGCCAAAAACCATAAATTTGAACATTTTGGGAGAGGTGCTAGGAGAGGGGGAACACCCTTGCTTCATTGCTTGGGAAGAGCCTTCTGAATCTGATGTGTATAGAGATATAGGAATATTTGTCCTCCCAATTCCAGACCCCAGTGTTGAACAGCTACAGTATGCCACCCAGGGCTATATAGTATATGTAATATGGGGATAGAACAATGTAGTACTGATGCATATAGAGATGTAGGAATAACAAATTTCTGTTCTTTACCCCCTTCCCCCTCCAGTGTTGAACTGCTATGCCACCCAGGGCAACTTTTAGACTGTAATGTTGGGGTACTGTTAGTATTGATGCATGTTAAGATGTAGAAATGACCACTGTTTTTATTCTACCCCCCTCCAGTGTTGAACAGCTATGCCACCCAGGGCTTCGCGCCGCCCGCCTCGCCAGCCAACAGCCGCGGCTTCCCGCCGGCGAACAGCCCGGGGCCGATCGACATGTACGGCGGGACCACCAGCCAGGCGGACACCGTCAGCAGCTACGTGGCGCAGGCGGCATCCCCGCAACCCTCCGGGTTCTCCATCGCTCCCTCCTCGGTGAGATACAACCTCCTTAACTCGCTCTTTTCTTCCCTCATTCCGTTCCGTCTTCGGTGAGATTTAACCTCCTAAACTTGCTCTTTTATTCCCTCCCTCCATTCCATCCCAGATTAGTTGTGCCCTCCCTCTATTTTTAGTGAGATTTAATCTCTGTCACTGTCTTCTCTTCCCTGTTTCTGTAAGATTTAACCTAAATACTGCACAGAACCTACTTGCCCAAATTCTTATTTGGGGGGTTCAGAGTTCAGAGAATTTTTGTCTATTTTCTTAGAATTTTAGAGCAAAGTTGGAAAGTTGTTGGCATTTCGACATTTTTTCTTTCATTTTGTGATTTTTGGATAACTTCTGTCAGTAAATTTTCTGAGACCTAGTTGTAAAGGACCTTAATGTGAAATTTTACTTCTTTCAGGGCAATTGGGGAAAACATTAAATTGGGGCATTTTGGACATCTTTCTTTAATTTTCCATTACTAAAGTATTTTTGGTGGATTTTCAGAGATTGTAAAAGACGTGAATGTTGCAAATTTGACTAACTCCTCTGGCCTGTAACAGTCGCAGCCGAACACGAGAAAAAAACGGCGCGACAAAAATGTGCAAATTGCTAAATCAGCACCGCAGGCCGTTTCAGCCTGAACAGGAATCGCAGTTATTGTGTGCTGCTGAGTGTTTGGCAAGTCAAGGTTTAGAATTAGCTGTTTAACAGTCTGGCTTCGGTTCCAGACAGGAGGGCCGCCGGTGGTAATTGTGCTCTACTGGTGGCTGGAATACTGATTCCCGCTTTCAACCTACACTATTCCTCTTCACTGTGGAACTTAAGCAAACAAAAATTCAGGGGTTTCCCCAGAAATTCTTAGGGGAGAGGTGCTCCCTATAGAGCTTATTCACCACACGTCATCTATATATCATGACGTCACGACCCCTCATGTCCCGTGCGACGCCATTTTGGGGCTACAGCGCCTACAGCGAGTTTCCAAGCATTGAAATGGCCGACAAACGTTAGGTAAACTGTCCTTTGTCCTATTACACGAAGAGTTTACCACCACTCATACCTCTCGTTACTGGAACAAAATAAAATCTGTTGGGATTGACCCGTTTCTGTTGAGTTTTGATCAGTCTGATAGAAACGGCGTCTACCGCCAGCGGAGTCCATTGACGTGACTTAGCTTCGTATTTGGTACTGGGCAGAAGTTTTTACACACAGGATCGGTTCAAGAGTCTGGAAGCGTTGTATCAGGATGTGTAGAAAGTGTTGTGGGACAGTTGCGTGGTGACAATTAAGTACGTTGTAGTCGGGAAACGCAAAAAGTCGCGGCTATTTTGGAACAGCCCCGGAGTGTGTCTGGATAAACAACAAGCAAAGGCGAGGCCATCGGCCGCCATCCTCAGTCCGCACTGCCGCGACTGTGGCTGGACAAGGTGAGTGTTACACGTTGCCAGCACCCTGTTCTACATGGAGATTTACCACAGAGTAAAGGGACAAGTAGCTCCGAGTCCAACATTTTACCGTGTTCATGGCTACCCACGTTTCAATCTACATGTACATGTACAGCCCCGTACGCCGCGCCAGGATTAAACACACCGATTTCTGATCAGCAAAGAAAGACTGAAAAGCCAATCTTGACAACATGAAAAGTGGACACGGAGCCAGAACAACCCAAAGGACAATGTTACTAACAAGAAGAGTGTCCAAAACGTAGATTGTGGCCCAAAATACACAACTATCGCCAAGAGTTTGCATAGCATGCATTGCATGATCTTGCATAGCGGTAGCCCCAAAATGGCGGACGCCAGGGGGAGAGTCACGTGACAATCTGTGGTGAATAAGCCCTATATATAATCGGTTGATGAAAAATCGGCAAATTTTCTTGGAAATGCTAATTCGTGCTTTCAACCTACACTCTTCTTCTTCACTGTGGAACTTCAGTAAACAAAAACTCCCCAGAAATTCTTAGGGGAGAGGTGCTCCCTAATCGGTTGATGAAAAATCGGCAAATTTTCTTGGAAATGCTAATGTGTGCTTTCAATCTACAGTCTTTTTCTTCACTGTAGAACTTCAGCAAAACAAAAATCCCTTGCACACCCCCCCCCCCCCC